ACGTGTGTGAAAATAAATTCGCAAGCAAGAAAGCTAAAAAAAAAAGATTAATTGAAAAGCGAAAAAACATTAAACAGAAATTTAAACTCTTCGAAAAAGGTGAAAATGTGCAAGAACAAATGTTTTTACCCAAATGAAAACACTATAAAGCATAACTTCATAAACAAATATTAGAAAACATCAAAACAAAACACAAATTGCTTAAGTACTTTTCGCCAACGATGTTGGCAGAAGCAAAGTGTAACTAACTGCTAAATCTACAATATTTATACTGGATTTAGCAGTTAGATTTAGTTACACTTCGCTTCTGAAGATGCCAACATTGTTGGCGAAAAGTACTTTAGGCGTTGTGTGTTTTATTATGGTGTTGGGGAATACTTCTAGTATTTGTTTAATACATCACCAAAGTCCTTTTTCAAGCATATCTTCATATGAAAAAACTATTTTTTACTAAGGAATCCATTCATATTTAATGTACACAGGGTCACCAAATAAGTTGTCATCATTAAAATGGGCTTGGCTTGGGATGCGATTTTTTTGCATTTCAGGACATTTCCTGAAGGGGTCAGGTTGGCTCGGGTTGCGATTTTTTTGCATTTCAGTACATTTCCTGAAGGGGTCAGGTTGACTTGGGTTGCGATTTTTTTTTACATTTTTTTGCGTTTTCTGATGGCAAGCAAACTGCGTTTAACGCCATTACTTCAAATTCGGCCGCAAGGTGGCGCCACTAGCCAGGTTTCACACTCATGAGTCATGACCATGTATGGATGGGCGGGAAATTCAAAATGACCGCCACCGCCAACCAATTGCAGAAATAACAATGGGCGGGCACGTTAAATTCAAAATGGCCGCCAACAAATTGTAAAAGTAATACTGGGAAATACAAAATTATGACTCGTGATGGCGCCACTTGCCGGGGTTGATCTCAAGTCTAGCTATTGCACAATATTTCGAAATTTAAATTTATTCTGGCGCCACACTGACGGTGTTTTTTTCACATGTTGAGACGCACTTCCCTAGAGGATAAAATTACAGGTACGGCTACATCTACTCATTCAAACGTAATTCTCGGAATTTTCCAGCTCAACATTCGTTTCAATAAAAATCTCATTTGTTATTTAATTTAATTTGCACAATAACAAAACATATTTTGTTTTCGTTCATTAAATGACTTATTTGTTATTTAACTTTTGATTATACTTTTGGTAATCTTGTTTTTAATTATTGGATTTTTTGCTTGGGCAGCGAAAAACGCTAAAAAACGAACACTTTTAACACAGAAAGATAGGAGCTTTAAAGGCTTCAAAAGCTTTAAATGCCTTGGAGTAATTCCATTTATTAGCCACCAATGAGTGCACCTCATATACTCTAATTTTATTTCTTTTTTAACTGTTAATAGACATGGACGCAAGAAGTGAAAAAAACTACCCTTTTCTTTTCTCCCCCTATCACCTATTTATACAAGGCTAGGCAAAAGTTACGACTATGTGCTATGCAGACCTAACTTTAAAAAATTGTACTTTTTTTGCTAATAAAGCTATCGACATTAAACAAACTGTTAATTGTTAAGAAAATATTTCTCTTTAAAACCATATAGGACACATTTAGTTATTGATGCCCTAAATGGTCTTTGGGAATTTTTTTAAAAATGCAATTTTTTGTAAAAATTGTCTAATTTTATAAATTTATATATTCTTAGAACAACTTGCCTGCAATTTTTTTTAATGTAGTTTGTTTCCAAAGATCTTACTCTGTATAAAAGCAATGAAATCATTTTTAATTAATATTGGCTAAAAATAATAAAAATTCATGATTTCGAAAAATCACTGTTTTCAGCCATTTCGTGGTTTAAAAATGCTATGTTTGAGTGAGTCGATTTAAACCAATTTATGCTTATCACCACAGGCACTTATTAGTTTCCAATAATCATAAATAAAATAATTGTGTATTTTTCTTTTAGCTGGGATGTGGATGTATATGACCACCTGTGACTAAATCCATATATAAACCATATAATATTTATTTCGAAAAAGCGTATTACATCTATAAAATAACTCGACACCCTTGAATTGACTTCTAATTCATTCTGAATAAAAATATAAAATATAAAAACCACATACAGTGGCGTCGAAAATTAAATACCCATTTATTTATTTTTTAAATTAAGGAAACAATCCAATGTACAAAAAATTATTTCATTGACTAAAAGACATACTTTTCATAAACTTTTATTTAGACAAAATAAAACAGGTATTAAATCCTAAATTTGAATTAAACCTAACTGCATATAATTAAACTGAACAAATCATATTCTTAACTTTTACAATCACCTAAAAAACCTATTTACTATTTTTTACCTCTAAAAAGTTATATGAATCGGAACATTTTCTTATGTGTATAATGGATCGCACCAGACTTCACCAAAAATTTTGGTAAAATAATATAGATGCCTACGTACAAGTATCGGTTACAGTTGCATCCACTCGCCATTCTATTAAATCCTTTTCCTCCTTAGTACAAGATTTAATCTTGGAAAATCGCGAAAAATATTTTTATCCGAAATCGGCAGTAAAGTAGTCAACAATCGGCAGTAAAGTAGAACTTTACTTTTTTAATAAAAATATTAAGTTAATTTTATTAATTAGATTAAAAAATCGCCGCGGCGGGCAAAATCATAAAGTTGAATAATTCACTTCGGGAAAAAAAATATTCCTGAAATTACATTTAAATATAACGAAGTGTTCTTAAAATCATACATTTTGTTCGTAAATATTGGTACACTAAGTATTTTAAGCAATTTATATTATTATATTATATATTTTTAACTTCAGTATACATAAAAAGTCATTTTGGAAACACGTCCACAAACAATTTTTTATAATTTAAGTAAGTTTATAAACTATAAAAAATGCAATATTCACTTTTTTGCGGTGCTTTGTAGAAATTATTAGGACCTATTTTTATTACTCAAGGGTTATAATGCTCAATTTATTAAAATTGTAAATTTTCTGCGTTTTCAAATGTTGTCCGTCAGTTTAAAAGTCATTTCATGAACGCCCCTATAATTTTGCAAAACAATGCGAACTAGTTGCGCTAGATGGCGCTAGTAAGCAATTATGTCAAGTGTTGTCAACAAAGAAGTCAGTGTTTTTGTAATTTTTTCTAGTTCAATAGTATTTTATCTGGTAAGTACTTTTTATTTCATCATCTGTGTAGCGTACTTTAATTGCATGTCATTACGAGAACGTCATCTTGCTTTTATTTAGCCGATAACATTATGTATTTTTTGCGTTTTTTTTAAATATGTTGGCTTTTAATTAATAACCTTGGTAGTCGGCATTTAAGATGACGTCATTCCAGTATAAAGAAATAAATTATGTCAAATCATCATTTCTGGAACGGTCATGTCGGGAACGTCCTCGGACTATGAATGATGAATTCGTGTTTAGATCTTTACAACGGTTGATTTTGTTGTTTTACGCCAATTTTGTGTTTGTTTTTAGCGACAAGATGGAGGAAGATAAAAATAAAAAGAAAAAAATACCAAAAAGCAGATAAACAAAAATAGTTCGCTTATTTGAGACAACGAGAAAAGGCTAATGCAAGGAAACGCAAATTTCTAGATAAAATGACATTCGAGCAAAAAGAAATAAAAAGAAAAAAAGATAGAGAATACTACCAAAAAAAAGCCGAAAAAAAAATTAAATCTATAAGTGAAATGACCGAACAAGAGAAAAAGCAACAGAGAAAAGTATGGAAGAAAAATTCACAGAAATATAGAGAGAAAAAAAGATTGCTGGCAAATATACTAAATAATAGCCCACCAGAAACTGTTAATGAAAGCGAAAATAATTCTGGTTCTTATGCATCACGAAGAAGTTTAGGAAGAAAAACTGTGAAAAAAAATAGATCCAAGGCATACAGAACTATCAAAAAACAAAAAACTCAAATCAGCAGTATGCAACGAAAGATAGACACTCTGCGAAAAAAACTTGCAAGAAATAAACGACACGCAGAGAGAGAAGCAAAGAAAAACATTGATTCGCCTAATAGGAAGGTCAATGAGTTAATTAAAGACTGTTATGTTACTCCTGAAATAAAAAATAAATTATTGTTTGGTGAGGTTTTAGTATCTCAACTAATAGAGAACTCTGACAAGTTAGCGAAAAATTCTAAAGAAAGGGAGGCATTTCAGAAGTGCGTGAGTGGCAGTCTAATTAAAAAATATCGCTTTAATAAAGTAGCCCGAATTTTTTTGCCGAAGAACAAGGACAATAAAAACATTTTAGTTTTTGACAGAAAGCCTCCAACATTTCTAATCAGTAAAAGTGTTCGTGAGAAAATTCAGACTTTTTTTGAAAAAGATGACGTTAGTAAAAAAGACTGTGCCAAAGGAGGCAAACAAAAGCGTTTGCTTTTAGATAGTGTAAAAAATTTACACGCCAAATTTGTCAAACGGCAATTAAATTGTCCTATGCTTCTCTTCTAAGAGCAAAGCCATATTGGGTTGTGCCTCCCAAACAAAAAGATCGCGACACTTGCTTATGCGTAAAACATGAAAATTTTCAGTTCAAACTAAACAAGCTCTACAGATTGGGTGAACTGAAATACAATTCTATATCAAAATTGATCCAAGCATACAGCTGTGACGGTGTCTCGTACGATTGTATGTTTGGTATATGTTTGACATGCGGAAAAATTGAAATGGACCCCGGCAGCAATAAAGATACAGTAGATTATTGTCAGTGGCAAATAACAAAAGAAGACAGAATAATTAAAGGAGAGACAAAAGTTGTAAAGATTACTAAAAAAGTCACTGTTACAAGCTCAGTGAAAGATCTAAAAAATCCATAGCTGAAGATATTTTTCACATGAAAAAACATGTTTATGGTATAAACGAAAACTTTAAGGCAAAACGAGAAGTTCAAGATGCATTAGATGAGACCCAGATTATGGTACAAATTGATTTTCTGAAAACTATATGACTAAATATGCGAAAGAAATACAGTCTACTCACTTTGGAGCATCTAAAGGCCAACTTACCATTCACGCAGGCGTCTTTTACTCGAAAAATAATGATTTGCTACAGACTGGCACGTTCGCAACTGTAAGCAATAATCTTGACCATCAGGCCCATGCTGTTTGGGGTCACTTAAAGCCCATTCTACAAAAACTTTTAAGTACAAAAGAAGGTGTTCAAACTCTACATATGTTTTCAGATGGTCCTACGTCACAATATCGAAACCGTACAAACATTTATTTATGGATAAAAACTCTGATAGATCATTTTCCAAAAATTACATCGGCAACTTGGACTTACAGCGAGCCTGGACACGGTAAAGGGCCTATGGATGGTGTAGGGGGCTTACTAAAGAAAAGAGCTGATGATTACGTTTTAAAAGGAAAAGATGTTCAAACAGCTGCAGATTTTATCAATTTGTTTGAAAAGTCAACGGTTTTAGTTCAAGAAGTTACCAACGACAAAATCGTAGCTGTAAAGAACTCAGTGCCTAAAAAATTGGATGCCATACCTGGTGTAATGAATGTATCTAAGATAACGTGGCAGAAAGCATCGGACGTATCGATATCGTTGTATCAGCACGTGAAATTTTTGAAGAAAGTAAAATTGGATACTTTTGCAAGGACTATCCAAAATAAAAAAGCAGAAGTTCCTATAGACATGGGCGTTTCACAAGAACTACTGTCTTTTAAATTTAATAGAGCAAGCATTTACCATGATGTTTATGGTTTCAGCAGTTCAGATGAAAATTTGCAAACGATTTCGGACCGACTCTATAAACGTGATAACGAACTTCATGCTGGTACATCCTACGGCCAAGATTTGGAGAATGTACATCCTAACTTAATTTGCCCTACGACATTTTTGCTCATAAACGTACCAAACAAAATCAAAAACGTTACATATAGATACGCTGCAATTGCAAACACCTCAGTTGATAAAGGAGGTGAAGTTAAAGTTACCTTTTTAAGTTGTCAGCGTAATTCGGCCAAGATGTTTAAAATTGAACAAAAGAACGTTTCTTATATTGCTTTTGACCAAATAGTAAAAATTTTACCGACCCCTCAATTGCATAAAAAAGACAGATGTGATTTTTATTGTTTTCAAGAAGACATTGATATTTTTGAGAAGTAAATACTTTTTGCTTCCTATTTACTTTTAATTAATTACCCATTTAAGAATTTTGTTATAATAAATATATAAAAAATACTGTGTAATACTGTAATACTTTTGATCTCTATTAGTTTTATTTGTATGATGCAATTGACAAAAGTGTTTTATAATTACATACAATAAAGGTTTGATTTTGCTGAGATGTGTATTATTTGTGCCATTTAACATTACAATCTTAACTGTTAATCAAAGTTAAAGAGCTCAGTCTAAGGGAATGATAACCAATGTGTATAAATAAATATTGTGCTTAGCATGTTAAGTAAGTTTAGTGCACTAAACTTACTTAACATGTTCATCCACCAAGCTCTCCAATTGTGAGTTAGAAAACGCCGTCGTCATTCAGGGAACATCACTGTCATTTACGAGAATGATGAAAAAAACAAATAATTCACTATTTACATATCGTTTAAAGTTTCTATAAAGATAAATAAATATTTTACCAACTTAAAACTTCTATATGACTTAAATACTTAGCCCCTTATAATAAAAAACAAATTAAAGTTAGGTACATCTTTATCAACTATTTCCGGCCTAATAAAATTAACTTTATACAAATCCATACCGAACATTTTAATCTCATTTTCTTTGATTAATAATTATTATTGCATATTTTACAATTTTAAATAACCAATATATTGATACATTCTAAACATCATATTTTTTTAATTATTAAAAACCGTTCCCAAAATGACTAATATTTGTCTCATATTCACGATTTTATGCAATTACTGTAAAAAAAAATAACTTTTTTGCTTGGCCATTTTCAAACTAATTTTAGGACATTTGCTCAATTTGTAAATTAAAAGTAATGCTTAAACATAAGTTTTTTTTTATTTCATTTGGAATCTAAAAATGCTCACCTCTCTGATTTTGACTACGTATACGTAGACACCATACATTCAAATGTAATTTGATTTGATCATCAAATGACATTTGATTTAATCATCAATATTAATTATTAGTATTATTAAATGTGATTTCGGATAAAATTTAATATGCACCTCGGCATTAAAGTCATTTTTTCTCACTCACGTGGTTATTTGTAATTACGACTTTACTGCCTTGATACATAAATAACTATTTATGGTATTTTTCATTAATTAATTTTACAACGAAACAATAAATTTTTGGACACTTTTAAATGGCAGAAATTGGTGTGTAAACTGTTTTTAGAAAATTATGCACAATTTAATAATTTATTATTTTAGTTTTTGTTTATTTACAAAGGTAAAAAATTAGTATGTTTAGAGTAAGTAGGTTAATTTTTATAAATATGTAAAAATTTTAATTTCTTAAAAATATTTTAATTATTAAAACAAAATCTTAAAAATTGTCTTTTGCGAATTAGAACTCAATTCAAGTCTTGCTACCGAGTTTTTTTATAAAATATATATTTAATATTATATTATGGATTTATAATATTATAATCCACATTATAATAATAAAATTAATAATATTATAATCCATATTATGAATTTAGTCAGGTGGGCATATTGTGTATTTTGCTTATAGCTAGGCTGTAGATGATACAGCCACAGCCCAGTTAAAAGCAAAATACACAATAATTTTATTCATGGTTATTGGAGGCTAATAAGTGCCTGTGATGATAAGCATAAATTGGTTTAAATCGACTCACTCAAACATAGCCTTTTTAAACCATGAAATGGCTGAAAATAGTGATTTTTCAAAAACATGAATTTTTATTATATTTTTTTGAACTCTTAGCCAATATTATTTGAAAATGTTTTTATTGCTTTTATATAGAGTAATTTCTTTGGTAACAAACTCCATTAAAAAAATTTTGCTGGCAAGTTGTTCTAAGAATATATGAATTTATAAAATTAGACATATTTTCCAAAAAATTGCATTTTTTTAAAAATTTCCAAAGACCATTTAGGGCATCAATAACTAAATGTGTCCTATATGGTTTAAAAGAGAAATATATTCTTAACAATTAACAGTTTGTTTAATGTCGATAGCTTTATTGCCAAAAGAAGTACAATTTTTTAAAGTTAGGTCTGCACAGTAACTTTTGCATAGCCCTGTATAAATAGGGGGGAGAAAAGAAAAGGTGAGGTTTTTTTACTTCTTGGGTTCTTGTCTTTTTACAGTTAAAAAAGAAATAAAATTAGAGGATATAATGTGCACTCATTGGTGGCTAATAAATGGAATTACCCCTTGTTGTGATTGGATCGGTTCCTGAAGGCTGCTTGCTGACATAAATACCTGGGATCCCGAAACACCTGGGTTAGGTACCTTCGGGGCCGGATGCTTAATGCTGGGTGCACCTAAATTGTTCCTCATACCCTGATAGCACAGTTTATTCTAAGAATGTTTTTTAAACCTTCTAGTGAGAATATTCTTAGGATCATGCTATATTTCTTCTAGTCATGTTCTAAGAATGTTTTTTAAACCTTCCAGTGAGAATATTCTTAGGATCATGCTATATTTCTTCTAGTCATGTTCTAAGAATGTTTTTTAAACCTTCCAGTGAGAATATTCTTAGGATCATACTATATTTCTTTTAAAGAACATGCTTAAAAGAAATATAGCATAATCCTAAGAATATTCTCACTGGCCTATAGGCAGGTTCTTAGAAGAAGCAAAGTTTAGTGGTAAAAATTAATCCACTCTAAACATATGCTTAGAATGTTGAGAAAGTAATTGCTATAGAAAGTTCATTTAGGAATATTCCTGGAACATTCTGTTAAGCATATTCAGTTCAGTTAGGTACCTATATAATAGTAAAATATACCATAATCTACGTATAAAGGTACCTATACTTAGGATTAAATACTAAGTAAAAAACACAACCCAAAATATTTTTTTATAGTTATTTGTCAAATCAAAACAATATTCGATAACAAAAATACTTTTACTATAGGTATCTAAATTATCCGGCTTTTACATAAAATCTTCTATCCAACTTAAATACAATGAAAAATGTTTTTTTTATGAAGAACTATTTCGTTTTTTCTTTAATGAAGACTTATTTTATAAGGAAATATTTTGTTTTTTTATATTTTATTTTATGTTAAAAATAAATTTTTATTAATATGTATACCGATTTTTTATTTCTGAATTAACATTTTTATGTATAATAATCCTAACTATCTTCAACTTCAATCTAATCTGACTTATCCCACAAAATTTTCCAATTTTACTTTTTATGAAATATGTCATACAACTTATGGTTTAGAGGTCAAATTGTTTATTTAATATTTTTAAATAAATATATATTAATATGTCGCAAAATTTTTTTAGGGGACGAAAAATACATTTCACCGTCATATTATGACAGTGAAGCGTATTTGTCGCCTCCTGAAGAATTTTACGAATGTAGAATCCAACATATTAGAACGTGGGTTTCTGACATATTTGGAAATATTCTCAAAAGCTTCCTAGAAGCTCCATAAGAAGCCTTCTAAAAACATTCCAAAAACGTATTCTTAAAATGTTCTTAGAATGCTTTTTAGGAAGGTTTTAAGACGCTTCTAAGAATCTAATTGCATCAGTAAAAGGGTATCTATTGAATGTTTTAAAAGTCCCTAAGAACATTCTTAGTAATAAGGGAAGGTTCTTAGAATATTCCATTATTCCGGGTCATATCTTCTTAGAATATTCTTAGAATCAAATTTTGCTACCAGGGTAGTTGGTGAAGAATAGGCTCCTTGGAGCACCTGGGGCACGTGGAGATCCATCTGGTATCTCGGAATGTGGATGGAAGCGTCGGCGACGGCGTCCATGACAGCCTTGGTGACGTTGTCCAAAACCAAACCAAAAGTTGACTCAAGATTGGCAAGATTTAGGAACGGTGTTCAAATTCGCAATCTTGGAACGAGTAGTGGGCATCGCATAAACTTGGACAGCTTATGTACCAGACCTATTACTGGTTGATAAGATCGTTATCTTCTCCATTTGCATCCACTGAAATAAATTCAATTACTTAAATTTTAATTCAAAATATTGTTTAGTTCTACGAACTGTTTTAAACTATCCAAAAATAATCAACTATGAATCTTTCGAAGTTTAATTAAAAATAAATTCAATCACTTAAATTTTAATCAAATAATTAATTCCCGAAGGAAATTAATTTTAAAATGAAAACAATAAAACAAAATATCAGTTTAAAATAAGTTACCAGGCAGCTTGTCGAGAAGGCACTATGAGCTCGTAAATTGGACTGATTTTAGTGCTGCAGCCACTACAATTTATATGAAATCGAGGAAAGCTCGAAACCAATAAGGGACGAAATCTCGTTCGATTAGGTACCTTATTTGGATACGAAAACAAAGTTTCTAGAACATTTTGGAAGCTTTGAAATTATGAATGCCCAAATATGGTCATTCGAATAAATCTTAAAATTTTAATAAAACAATAGAAAGTCTAAAACTTTCCTCGTTCCTGATTGGTTTAAAACAGAATTTCTCGATAGCCTTGTCGTGAACGGTCCTGTTCGGCTCGGGACGTGAGGCTTTGACCTTCCCCGGCAGCGTTCACTGGAGACGACAACTCCCGGCGGCTTGGTACGGTCCGAAAGGGGATTGGACCGTCCCAGGAGACGGAAAAGCCCGGAGCAGCCGGAGCTGCCGGAGTTTGAACGTTGGAGCTACCTAACTCCTTGCTTGGAAGACGGTAGACCCTCTCAGGTGGCGGAGGAGGCGTCCAAGTTTTCTGGTGGTTTGGAGCAGCGGGAACCATGGAACTGGCTCCAGGAAAGCCATAGGCCGGATGAGCCAATGGAGGAGGCATCCAATACCAATATGGACCCAGAGCAGCCATCATAGTAGGAGCTGCAGTGGTCCTGGAGATGGAGCGGCCCGGAGTTGGTGGGCTTTCACCGTGGAGCATCCAGGAGACATGTCCGCCCAGAGCTGCATGGATTTCGGTAAGGGGCGGGGGTAATGGAGCTGGTCGGGGGGGTTGATGGTTCCCAGAAGAACCTTCCGGAGACCTTTGAACCTGGAGTTGGCGGAGCTGCGGAATCCCCAGGAATGGAGCGAACCGGAGCTGCTCTAGAATAAGAAACCGCCGGGCGATCGTCAAAGTTTATCTGGGTCGGCGTCGATGTCACGATGGTCACTGGAGTGGCTGGAGTGATCGGCATTGCCTTGGCGCAACATGGCCCTCACCTTAGGTGTTGCCACTAATACAAACCTTGTAAGCAAACTGAAAGGTGGAAGGTTTGTCCCAAAAATAATAACACTTGTACAACTTAAAAATCACTTGGCCCGCACATAAAGTTCGTAACTGCTACTAGCTCTGATAGATAACTATTGACTTGGTGTGAAGCAAATCTGTTGTGATTGGATCGGTTGGTCCAAGGAACGACGTCCTCTAGATTCTTCCTGCAGACTGCGTGCTGATGGAAGTACCATTGGGGTCCAATGCTGGGTGCTGATTGCACCTGAAGTGTTGTATCAAATGCTAGCAGCGTTTTTCTGCATGGTTGGTCCAGGTTGGACCCTTTGGAGCACCTGTGGCACGTGGAGAATCATTTCGTATCGTGAAATGTGGACGGAAGCGTCGGCGACGGCGTCCATGACAGGTGTTCCGATAAATTCCATTGTATCTTCAAATTTTTCTTCCGAAACTCTTCGAAGACGATGTCCACGGAAGCCTTGGTCACGTTGTCCAATAAAAAACCAGAAGATGACTCAAGTGTGGCGTCGGAAAAATCATGAACGTTATTCAACTTCGCAATCTTGGAAGCAGAACGCGTAGTGGGCATCGCAAGAACTGGACAGCTTATTTACCAGACCTATTGCTGGTTGAGAAGGTCGGTAACTTCTCCATTGGGAGCTACTGACACCAACCGGGACACAACGTACGTGCGTTTCCTTGCAGCCTGTTGCAATTTGTATGCTCGAACCAGAATATTCTTCTTGATATTTGACTTACCCATGGTAATATTGTTTACAAAAAGATTTCTTTTCTAACAAATTCGAATCTTTCGAATTTTAATTCAAATAACAAAATACAATTTATATGAAATCCATCTATCTATCCATCTATCTAAATCTATATGAACTCGAATCCAATAAGGTACGAAATCTCGTTCGATTACCTTATTTGGGTACGAAAACAAAGCTTCTAGAACAATTTAGAAGCTTTGAAATTATGAATGCCCAAATATGGTCATTCGAATAAATCTTAAATTTTTAATAAACCAATAGAAAATGTAATATTTTCCTTGTTCCTGATTGGTTGAAAACAGAGGTTCTCGATAAATCGTTCTTTTAGAAAAAGGTGGACGGGCGGAAAACTGAACACTTTAAAACTTTTGTGAAAAAATTCGAAAAGGCTCCTATCTCTTAATGTTAAAAGTGTTCGTCCGTACCTTTTTCGATATGCCCCCTGCAAATTAGGCCAAGTAATACATTTATTTTATAACTAATTACATAAAATAGATGTTAATAATGTAACTTTTTTACTGTTCGTAGTGTGAATTAAAACACGCACTGGTTTATTAACGAACTAAACGATTTATTTTATAACTTAATTACACTTAAAACACTAAGAAACTATAAAACTAACTAAACACTTAACTACTAATTATTTATATATCACTTCTGTACAAGAGTCTATTTATTTGCACGTATATTTATTTATTTCGTCGAGGGTACCAAAACTTGACTGACTACTAGATGCTGCGCCGCACTATGTCGTAAACAGAGTGATTATGTAACCAAAAATATTTTTGTTGAAAAACATATTGAAAATGCTTTTTTGTTATACTAAAAGATCATTTTTAATAAATTTAACCATTAGTTAGGATTAAAAGAAGCTAAGTACAGGGTGAACCACGTAAGTTTTCCCCCTTTCACCTCCCGTCTGCTAATTGTACCAGAAAATTTAATGTTAATCAAACTTTGACCTCGAATAACTCTAGAAGAAATCAATTTATCAAAAAATAATAAGAGACCTTTTTTGTAGAGCGTTAAATTTTATATAAGAAACTGCAATGATCATTGATATAAGTTACATTGATACAGAGGTATAAAATTCCAAACATAAATTAATTTTTTCCCATGTTAATTCAATGGGAAACTAAAATAAAATCAGCGACCTCTTAGAGTTGAGCTGGAACGCCCATATTTGGTGAGGATTTTTTTTATATTAAATAAAAACATTTGAGAGGGTAAGAGCAAAAAAAAAATTTTTTTGAAGCACCCTAATATACAGGGTGGCCGATTTATCTGAAGACATTGAAATATTTCGCATCGGATCGAAAAAAGTTTTGAATAAAATTTGTTCGCCTGGAAGGGGGCCATCCAATGATACCAAAGTCAACCCTCACCACCACCCCCTGGGGTATGGGTGGGGGCAACTTTATAATTCTAAATAGGAACCTCCATTTTTTATTGCAGATTCGGATTTCCTATTAAAAAATAAGTAACTTTTATGGAAAAACTTTTTTTTTATTCCTGATAGATGGCGCTGTAATCGCAAGAAACCCGATTTTTGGGAATATCTTAAAAAATTACACATCGGATCGAAAAAAATAAAAACTTGTTTAATTTTTGGATTATATTCGTATATCAATAAGTTAACATCTATTTTTAACGTTACGCAAGAACAAGGACCAGGACGCAGTAGTTTTTTGTTCCCATCGGGGTGCTAGTTTTAAGAGAGTCCCCCTGCCTCTCACTGTTTAATAAATTAGATTAAATGTTCGAAATTGTGACCTTGAACTTCTAGACACTTATTTATTCTTTTTTCAAATGATTGTACACAGGAGAGGAGCATATCTGCGGGAATTTCAGCACAAGCGTTTCTTATGCGCTGTATCATGTATTCCCGAATTGTTGGTGCTTGTTGAAAAACCTTATCTTTTAGATAACCCCACAGAAAAAAATCCGGCGATGTCAAATCAGGTGACCTAGCAGGCCAATTAACCGGACCACCTCTACCGATCCATCGGCACTGAGTAATGGGCTGGGCAACCGTCATGCTCAAACCACATAATTTGTCGAATGGGCAGGGCAACATCCTCAAGTAGAGGTGGTAAATCATGTTCCAGGAAATTTCGATATTTGATTCCATTTAAGGTTCCATCAATGAAATAACCAATGAGTTTGTTACCTAAAATTCCACACCAAACGTTAACCGACCAGGGACGTTGATGTTCAACTTGTCGTAACCAGTGGGGATTGTCCACACTCCAATAGTGCATGTTATGCCGTAACGGAACCATGGTTTGTGAATATGGACTCATCTGAAAATAGTACATTAGCGAAGAAATTGGGATTTCTTTGTATTTGCTGAACTGCCCATTCACAAAATTCTATTCGCCGATGAAAATCATTGCCATGAAGTTCCTGATGCAGTGAAACCCGGTACGGGTGATACTTGTGACGATTCAATATTCTCCGAATAGGTACTATCTCTGGAAATCCAGAGATCCCGATGTATTTCCCGAGTGCTTATATGAGGGTTATGTTGAACAGCTGCTATCAAATTAATTTCATTAGCTTCTCCTGTGACAGTGTTTCTTCGTTTTCTTTTTTTAAGTTGTACACTACCGTCGGATTTAAAGGATTCAACAACAGCATATAAGGCAACAGCATCGTCAATATTCCGCCTACATTCTCAGAAAATCAGAATCATTTCAATTTTTTCTTCTACGGTTGCAGCATTCATTTCTCACTCGTACGTTTCTAAATAAACTGCGTCTATAAAAACGGAACATATGTTTTTATAGACGCATAAGTAAGGTATAAATATGTTTTTATAACATACCTGGACGTATTAGTAAGGTATAAATATTTTTAATTTGTACCAACATCAAAAGGAATTAATTAATTTAATTTATTTTGAATTCCCTAACAATTCTCGTATACACTAATTATAATTTTTTATGAGAAATCCGAATCTGCAATTTTTCAAGATATTCCCAAAAATAGGGTTTCTTGCGATTACAGCGCCATCTATCAGGAATTAAAAAAAAGGTTTTCCATAAAAGTTACTTATTTTTTAATATGAAATCCGAATCTGCAATAAAAAATGGGGGTTCCTATTTAGAATTTTAAAGTTGCCCCCACCCAGAGTGGTGGTGAGGGGTCGACTTTGGTATCATTGGATGGCCCCCTTCCAGGCGAACAAATTTTATTCAAAACTTTTTTTGATCCTTTTTTCGAAATATTTCAATGTCTTCAGATAAATCGGCCACCCTGTATATATATATATATATATATATATATATACATATATATATATTAAAAGAAGTAATAAAACAATAAACCAATAGTGGATAAACACACCAGAAAACCATCAACATACACAAACATCACATCAGCAAATTCGGCAGCTCTCTTTTAATCGAGCGGTACACGTTGAATGAATCGCCATCTTACTTTTTCATCCCAGTACCGACCGTAGGCGGCCGATGTTGCCAAACTTACCTACATTTTTACTGTCAAATTGTTGACCGTTCTTTTGATTCTAACACGGCCAACCTGCGTAATAAGTCGTTCTCGACGTTGACTGAAACAAGTAAGTAAAATAATAAAACAAATCAAACAACGTAACTTTTACCAAAGAAAATGGTACAATATATTTTGAACATTATAATAATTATAAATTATTAATACAGTAGAAAAATCACGCATAAAAATAAAGGAACAAACAACAAAAACGAACATGTTTTGCATAAGGCATCCCTTATTTATCCTCATTAAGTTGTTCCACCTCAGAATCTTCCTCACTAAAAATAATACATAAGTTTAAGCAAGTGTCATATAATCATCTAAGCAAACGCATACAAAGCGTAAAACACATATATGCA